TTTGGGAGATGGAATGCTGGCATTATAGAAGGGATAGGGACACAGAAAATGAGGGTAGCCTTTGGGAGATGGAATGCTGGCATTATAGAAGGGATAGGGACACAGAAAATGAGGGTAGCCTTTGGGAGATGGAATGCTGGCATTATAGAAGGGATAGGGACACAGAAAATGAGGGTAGCCTTTGGGAGATGGAATGCTGGCATTATAGAAGGGATAGGGACACAGAAAATGAGGGTAGCCTTTGGGAGATGGAATGCTGGCATTATAGAAGGGATAGGGACACAGAAAATGAGGGTAGCCTTTGGGAGATGGAATGCTGGCATTATAGAAGGGATAGGGACACAGAAAATGAGGGTAGCCTTTGGGAGATGGAATGCTGGCATTATAGAAGGGATAGGGACACAGAAAATGAGGGTAGCCTTTGGGAGATGGAATGCTGGCATTATAGAAGGGATAGGGACACAGAAAATGAGGGTAGCCTTTGGGAGATGGAATGCTGGCATTATAGAAGGGATAGGGACACAGAAAATGAGGGTAGCCTTTGGGAGATGGAATGCTGGCATTATAGAAGGGATAGGGACACAGAAAATGAGGGTAGCCTTTGGGAGATGGAATGCTGGCATTATAGAAGGGATAGGGACACAGAAAATGAGGGTAGCCTTTGGGAGATGGAATGCTGGCATTATAGAAGGGATAGGGACACAGAAAATGAGGGTAGCCTTTGGGAGATGGAATGCTGGCATTATAGAAGGGATAGGGACACAGAAAATGAGGGTAGCCTTTGGGAGATGGAATGCTGGCATTATAGAAGGGATAGGGACACAGAAAATGAGGGTAGCCTTTGGGAGATGGAATGCTGGCATTATAGAAGGGATAGGGACACAGAAAATGAGGGTAGCCTTTGGGAGATGGAATGCTGGCATTATAGAAGGGATAGGGACACAGAAAATGAGGGTAGCCTTTGGGAGATGGAATGCTGGCATTATAGAAGGGATAGGGACACAGACAATTAGGGTAGCCTGAGGGAGATGGAATGCTGGCATTATAGAAGGGAACTCCGGCTTTCCTCTACCACCAATACCTGGCACGTCCTTAAATGACCATAGCTGTTACATGTAATAGGACGTAAAACACCAACAATCAAAACCAAACCAAAATTCCAGACATGGTCAGACAACACTACACACAGTGTATGTCTGGTATGTCTTGGCCAGGGGACAGAACCCAAAGCCTTCCTCACAGGGGCGGACGCTCAAGTAATGGCCAAAAGTGAGGCATTGATAAGGGAGACATATGGAAGAAGAATGTTGTTTAGAAAGAAGAGAAAAGATAAGATCCCAAATTTAGTCGCCTCTTACAGTCATGCAATGGGGGCACTAGGTACATGATAATGATTTTATTAATACTATTGCTGAATATGATATTATTTGCCTGTATGAATGTTGGGTGAATGAAAATGACGATGTTACTTTACCTGGTTATGATATTAAACCTGTTCCTAGAAGTGATGGAAGTGGTGGAGGAATTGTTATTTGGGGTAAAGAAACCATTAAGCAAATAGTTTCCATCGAAAACATTGTATTTGATCATTCTGTTATTACCAAAAGTCTATGAAAGATAACAAAAATTGTTTTATTATAGCTAATTATGTGCCTCCGGCCAATAGCGTGGACTATGATAATAATGACGTTGATATTTTTTGAAGTTATAGAAGAAAATATATCTGTGTATAATGAATACGGAAACGTGATTGTTATATAGGTGATTTAAATAGTAGAACCGGAACAAGTAGCGATTTTATAGAAAATGACAATATTGGAAGTCTACCTTTACATGTTTTATCGAATGTTTTTAATTACTTACCTGGTATTATTGTTACTGAAAGAATAAGTACAGATAAAATTATAAACACAATGAGAAGAAAACTTTTGAATTTATGTAAAGTGAGTGGTTTGAGAATCGTAAATGGGCGGCATCCGGGCGAAGATTAAGGCAGTATTACATTTTATAATAGTTTGGGAACAAGTTTAATCGATTATGTTTTTGTTGATGAGTCAAATTTTGAAATTATAGGAAATTTTAAAAGCAGAGAGTTCAATCATTTTTCAGACCATACGCCTATTGTGTTTACGGTAGAAATTAAGATTATAGAAGTAAATATACACGGTGATAATGAGCTGTTTTATTCTACGCGATGGAATCAGGAAAATTTTGTGTTAATCAAAACAATGATCAATAATAATAATTAATGACGATAGTCTAATGCATACTTGCAGAAATATGGAATTGTCTTCTGATAGTGTAAATAAAAGTGTCAAACATTTTTCTGAATTATGTAGAACCATTGTTGAACCTTATTGCGTTCAGATTCCATCTTGTATTATATCTAAAAACTATAATAAGGGAGATAAACCTTGGTTTTCAGAAACTTGTAAAGTAAAATTCAAAGAATACAAAGCTGCTCTCTCAGTCTTTAATAAGAATAAAACACATGACAATCATACAAGTTTGATCGATAAGAAAAAGGTATACAAGAGGCTAGAATTAAAACTGAAAAGAGAATACAAGACCCAGAAGGGTAACATGATGAATTACTTGAGAAAATATAATCCGAAAATATTTTACAGAAGTTTTAAAAGAAAGACAAAAGCGAGTTAAATATGATTTGAAAAGAAAGATTTTTTTAAACATTTTAACAAATTGGCGTCTACTGTTCCTGATCGTAATTAGGAAGTTGATGCATATATGAATGCTTATGATGATTCTGGTAATGATATGAACCCTTATTATGAATTAGATGTAGAGATCACTGAGAGAGAGGTTTTACATGCAATATCTAATTTAAAATAAAATAAGGCTTGTGGTCTTGATGGTTTGTTAAATGAAGTGTTTGTTACTTGGCATTGGCCCCATGTCTAAAATTGCTTTTTAATGGAATATTTAGTTCTGGAACTTTTCAAAATAATTGGAATATTGGAAAAATTATACCACTATTTATTTGTCTTGGAAAAAATTTCACTGCCATTTTAAATGAAAGATTAGTTAATGTTGATAAAATATATAATATTATCACAGATGTACAATTTGGATTTAGAAAAAAAAAATCCACAATAGATGCTATTTTCGTACTACAATCATTAATTAATAGAACTCTCAAAAACCGAAACAGACTTAACTGCTGTTTTATAGATTATAAAAAAGCTTTTGATTTTGTTAGTCGGCACAATCTTTGGTATAAAATGATTAAGGAAGGTATAGAAGGGAAATTCCTGAAAATGATAAGAAGTCTCTATGCAAATGTAAAATGTTGTGTTAAATTCAAAGATGTTACTGAATTTTTCAAATGTGATTGTGGTTTATTCCAAGGGGAAATACTATCTCCCTTATTGTTAACATTATTTGTTAATGATTTAGAAATGGATTTTATAAAAAATAATTGCTTATTGCTAGAAATTCAAACTATTAACTTATTTTTACCTAGATGTTATGCAGACGATATATGGTCATACTATCGGAAACACCAGAAGACTTGCAGAAATGTTAGATTCACTATCAGATTATTGTAGAAAATGGAGCATAACTTTAAATGTAGATAAAACAAAAATAGTTATCTTAAGAAATGGTAGTTTAATAAGAGCAAAAGAAAAATGGTTTTATAATAATGATGCGATTGAATTAGTTGATGAGTTTAATGATTTTGGTCTCACTTTAAACTATAATGGAAAATTTACAAAAAAACCCCAATAAACTAGCAGAACAAGGTCGAAAAGCACTCTTTGCCATAAATAATGTATGTAAAAAGAATTATTTTGATATAGAATCTCGTTTTGCTGTTTTTGACACGTTTTTCAATAGTATTTTAATGTATGGTTCAGAAATTTGGGGATTTCATAAAGCACCCGAAATAGAAAAATTGCATATTTGATTTTTGAAATCCTTATTAGGATTAAGAAAATCTACAAACTCTGCATTTCTTTATATTGAATTTGGAAGATCTCATTTTGAGCTGTTAAGAAATGTTGAAATTTTTAAGTATTAGATTGAATTACCATGTTCTGATAACTGTGTGCTGAAAGCTTGTTATGATGATGATATGGTTGAAAATAAAGACCCCTGGTTCCTTTACTTAAAACATGATCTTTCAAGAGTCGGCCATGGATACATGTTTGTGACTGATATATAAGTATTAATCATTCTAGTGAAGTATATAAGCAGCGATTATGTGATAGTTTTCAGCAAGATTGTCTAGAGAAAGTTCATTCTTCTTTTAAAGGAGTATTATATCAGCGTTTAGTGGAAAGTATTAAATTGCAACCATATCTTCATAAGGCAATTAATATAAATTATCTAAAACATATTTCTAAGATGCGTTTATGTGTGCATGACCTGATCATTGAACATGGTCATTACAGAGAAGAAAGAAAATGTATTTTATGTAAAAAAAATGATATTGAAGATGAATTTCATTTTATAATTAAGTGTAATCACTATTCAGACATCCGGTCTGAATACATAAAGCAATATTATTTCAAAAGGCCTAGTATATATAAATTTGTTCAATCACTCAAAATCGAAAACACAAAAGAACTTAATAATTTAGGAAAGTGTTTATCACTAGCATTTAAAAGTAGAGCAGATTTATTAAGAGGTCATCACTAGAACAGGTCATGTTAAGATACATGTTGTATATCAGTTTATTGAATACAAATTATGTGATATACCATTATTTGCCTTGGTTGTGGATGGGAAGTCATGTAAGATTGCAGTACATGGACTAGTTGAGGCTGCAGAATGGCTGTGAATCGGAGCAGGCAGGATGAGAAAGACTGGAAACAATTAATTGTTGGGCAATGAGCTGATCATCATCACTGCTGATCCATCAGGGTTTGCCTTATTCTACTGACTGTATTGGTACACATGATAAATAGTATGTAAAATAATCACTTTATACCTGTCTCTGACAAATGCAACCATAAGTGGAGTTTTGGTTTATGTTTTAGGTGCTGTGATCATCTTCACAGCTCTCCTGTCTGTGGCGTTCCTGGGACACAACATCAAGGCCAGGATGTGGGCAGGAATGATCGTCATCATTTTGGGTTTGGGGATTGTGGGCGTGTCTGATATTGTATTAGGTGACAAGAAATCCAAAGACACCAATGGAATAATAGCAGGTAAAGTCAGTGTCAGGAATCTCTGTTTAAATAACTTGTATGATTTTGTACAACGAGATGAAAGACAATAAGGCTTATGGTAGTGAATGCCTAGGTACATTAAAGGTATGCAAATATTTTGGAATGATAACTGAATAACATATGAGTTAAATTAGTTAAATTAGCCACGTCTGGATTTATCAAAAAGGTTAATGCCTTGTCCAGGATGTGAAATTCTTAACTCTTACAATTGTATGACTACAGTCTGTACTTATACCGTGTTGTACAGGTATCAATCACTCAGAGCACCTTCTTTGTGTAGTTATACTTGTTTGCTTAAAAATGTGAATCTTAACTGTCATTAAAATAACTTAATCTAAAAATTGAAGAATTTCTAGTCTAGATTCTTCATTGATATAATTTCAACATGCATCTTTGATATCAAAATACTCTTAAGTATTTCACAGGTGTATTTAGTGTATAGTTAATTGTTTGTAACTTTTATCTTCAAAATAAATGAAAATCTGAATCTGAACTATATTAATTATTTATGTAATAAGAATAACCAACACTTTACAATAAATATATAAGATATTTGTTCCCTCTACAGGAGATTTACTGATTATCATGGCACAGATCATTGTGTCTGTACAGATGGTTTATGAAGAGAAGTTTGTGGCCCGTTACAGGGTCAGTCCATTGCTGGCCGTGGGGTATGAAGGTAAGTTCTGTGTTCACCAGTAGGGTCAGTCCATTGCTGGCCGTGGGGTATGACGGTTAGTTCTGTGTTCACCAGTAGGGTCAGTCAATTGCTGGCCATGAGGTATGAAGGTTAATTCTGTGTTCACCAGTAGGGTCAGTCCATTACTGGCCGTGGGGTATGAAGGTTAGTTCTGTGTTCACCAGTAGGGTCAGTCCATTGCTGGCCGTGGGGTATGAAGGTAAGTTCTGTGTTCACCAGTAGGGTCAGTCCAATGCTGGCCGTGGGGTATGACGGTTAGTTCTGTGTTCCCCAGTAGGGTCAGTCAATTGCTGGCCATGAGGTATGAAGGTTAATTCTGTGTTCCCCAGTAGGGTCAGTCCATTGCTGGCCGTGGGATATGAAGGTTAGTTCTGTGTTCACCAGGAGGGTCAGTCCATTGCTGGCCGTGGGGTATGAAGGTTCGTTCTGTGTTCACCAGTAGGGTCAGTCAATTGCTGGCCGTGGGGTATGAAGGTTAGTTCTGTGTTCGCCAGTAGGGTCAGTACATTGCTGGCCGTGGGGTATGAAGGTTAGTTCTGTGTTCACCAGTAGAATTGCGTGTGAGTTTGTACAGCTGATACAAGATCCACCATATGCATACATCAGGCCACTGTCAGCTTTTTCTTTGGACAGGTTTTTCAGATTCATGAAAAGTTGAGTTTAACAGCAAGCTACAGGTCAAATATTATACTATAATTAGGACAACAATATAACATACATGAAGTTACTTCTTATTAATGACCTTGACTCACTTTTAAATAACATGGCTCAGGACAGACTACTGTACATATATTAAAATATAAAACAACAGATTTATAAAGCACACTTTGTGCACCTCCTGTCTCTGGGTCTGCTTTCCTAAGCATTTGGACCGATCATGTTATTTGCACAGATAAACGAATTACAACCAATGCTATGATTAAGACCATTGATAATGATACATCAGCATCCCAGTATACAATAATGTCTTGTTTTTCTACAGGTCTATGGGGTTTTATCATCCTAGGGATATTGTTGGTACCATTTTACTACATAAAAGCCGAGGTGTTTAGTAAACTCCCTAGTCACAGACTGGAGGACCCACTCGACGCCTTCAGACAGATCAGTAACAATGGGCAAATAGCCATGGCGGTTATAGGTATGTGTTCTCAGAAATATACATAATAGTTGGTGTATCATCATCCTTCTGTGGCAGTGTTCAGGTGAGTGTTCATACAACTCCAGTTGTGTATAGGTACATGTAGCTAATTACTTCACACTCTGTATGATCTTCACTTACCTCATAAGAATGCAACTCGTTATACAAAATATTAAGGCTTTAAATTTAAATGAAATTTGATGAGAATGTTTTAGATTCAACTGTTAAAAGCTGCATTCAAAACACAAGAGGAGAAATGACATTATTGAATTGAAGAGAATACAATTTTGATTAGTAAAATATTGTGTTTGTTCCCAGTGTAATATTGATGTTGAATATCTGTTTCACTGTATTGAGTATCATTGTGTTGGTATTGTGTACTTGTAATGTTTATCTTCTCAGTGTAATATTGATGTTGAATATCTGTCTCACTGTATTAAGTATCATTGTGTTGGTATTTTTTACCTGTATTGTTTATGTTCCTTAGGTAACATAGTAAGTATCGCCTTTTTCAACTTTGCCGGGATAAGCATTACAAAGTCACAGAGTGCGACCACCCGTATGGTGCTGGACAGTGTGAGGACGCTGGCCATTTGGTTGATCAGCCTTATGCTCAGTTGGCAGCAGTTCGAGTTATTGCAAGTGTTTGGGTTCCTGCTGCTGATCGTGGGTATGTGTCTATATTACAACATCCTCGTCCCCATCATTACAAGGCACCTGCCATGCAATCGTCAGACAGCCGCCACAGAGGAAGAGAATGAGCCTATCCTTCAACAGAACGCTCCAGGTATTATTTAATGGGAGATAGTCCCTTAACTGATGGCAGTGTTAACAGTTATAATGGAGGATCACACGGGTATTATTTAATGGGAGATAGTCCCTTAACTGATGACAGTGTTAACAGTTATAATAGAGGATCACACGGGTATATTTAATGGGAGATAGTCCCTTAACTGATGGCAGTGTTAACAGTTATAATAGAGGATCACACAGGCATTATTTAATGGGAGATAGTCCCTTAACTGATGACAGAGTTAACAGTTATAATAGAGAATCACACGGGTATATTGAATGGGAGATAGTCCCTTAACTGATGGCAGTTTTAACAGTTATAATAGAGGATCACACAGGTATTATTTAATTGGAGATAGGCCCTTAACTGATGGCAGTGTTAACAGTTATAATAGAGGATCACACGGGAATTATTTAATGGGAGATAGTCCCTTAACTGATGGCAGTGTTAACAGTTATAATAGAGGATCACCCAGGTATTATTTAATGGGAGATAATCCCTTAACTGATTGCAGTGTTAACAGTTATAATAGAGGATCACACAGGCATTATTTAATGGGAGATAGTCCCTTAACTGATGGCAGTTTTAACAGTTATAATAGAGGATCACACGGGAATTATTTAATGGTAGATAGTCCCTTAACTGATGGCAGTGTTAACAGTTATAATAGATGATCACACGGGAATTATTTAATGGGAGATAGTCCCTTAACTGATGGCAGTCTTAACAGTTATAATAGAGGATCACACAGGTATTACTTAATGGGAGATAATCCCTTAACTAATGGCAGTGTTAACAGTTATAATAGAGGATCACACGGGAAATATTTAATGGGAGATAGTCCCTTAACTGATGGCAGTCTTAACAGTTATAATAGAGGATCACACAGGTATTATTTAATGGGAGATAATCCCTTTACTGATGGCAGTGTTAACAGTTATATTAGAAGATCACACAGGTATTATTTAATGGGAGATAATCCCTTTACTGATGGCAGTGTTAACAGTTATATTAGAAGATCACACAGGTATTATTTAATGGGAGATAATCCCTTTACTGATGGCAGTGTTAACAGTTATATTAGAAGATCACACAGTTATAATAGAGGATCACACAGGTATTATTTAATGGGAGATAATCCCTTTACTGATGGCAGTGTTAACAGTTATATTAGAAGATCACACAGGTATTATTTAATGGCAGATAATCCCTTAACTGATGGCAGTGTTAACAGTTATAATAGAGGATTACACAGGTATTATTTAATGGGAGATAGTCCCTTACCTGATGGCAGTGTTAACAGTTATAATAGAGGATCACCCAGGTATTATTTAATGGGAGATAATCCCTTAACTGATTGCAGTGTTAACAGTTATAATAGAGGATCACACAGGTATTATTTAATGGGAGATAATCCCTTTACTGATGGCAGTGTTAACAGTTATATTAGAAGATCACACAGGTATTATTTAATGGGAGATAATCCCTTTACGGAAAGGCAGTGTATGTAAACAGTTTTAATAGAGGATCACATAGCTGTCTCCACTGATTAAAAGAACATAAAAAACTAAGACAGATTCTAATTCTGTCAGTTAAAGTAAACTAAATTAAACAGTTCTTTGGTTGTGTCAGTAATATTCCTGTTATAGATGGAAACAAAATTCCGTTTTATCATTCAACACACCAGCTCCAGAAATATTCCATTAAAAATGAGAATATAGATATAGAGGATGGGCCTAATGTATTTTGACACTTTTAGTGGTACTGTATATTGTAATTTAACTGGTGCAAATTCATTTTTACTGGTGTCACAGATTGGAGCCAGTAAAAAAGTTATTAGCGGCAGTCAAATCAAAATATACTGCCCGCAAATCTCAAAATACACCAGGATTATCCCCATTCCTATTCATATTAGCTAACACTTCAAAAAGAAAACACAATTCTAAGATAATTTTTGTGCATTTCTTTAAAATCTGGGTCATTCAGCCATGGATGGGTGATGCCTCCAGGCTTCACATGTGAATGAGAACTAACAGACGGTACATCAGGGTTAGATCCAGTTTTTATACATTTATTTCTCTTTCCAGGTATACAAGACAATGCCTAAATGAACATTCCTGCTAGTATTGTTACAAGCCAGCGTGGACTGGATGCCAATCTTTCCTTGTGGTCATGGAACATCAAACATTCTAGTATGTGTATAATGTGACATTAAAAATGAACATTGAAGAATTGGTACATGAACCACTTAGGGCTTTCAAGAGAGTATATAGGGGAGGCTTTCAACAAAGTATACAGGAGGGTTTTGATGTAACATTGTATGAGTATGTATGGCAAATTCTGACTATATTTTGTCACATAATTCTTAATTGCTTTAGATTTTTATGAAGAACTGTTCTGTTGGTCTGAATTGATAGACTCAACAGGAATAACAATGTTTCACCTCTACTTTGACCTTTACGTTGGGGTATGGATCTGCCCGTGGTACACAACACACCCTTACGTGATGATACTTGATATTTATACGGAATGGTGATGTTGGGGTGCTAGAGCAGGAGAAATGTATTATGTTCAGTACGGTGCTTATGCTATAACAACAGAAGGTGTTGAAAGCCTACGAATGTTGGGATAAAGGTGCTAGTGATAGACCCCATAATTAAGATTTGTCACAACTTCAGTACCTCCCAGCTGGAGGATTGTAAATTATCCTTACATTGTTATATATATGTGTAATTTCAACTATTTACTATCATAATGGAAGCAGAGGAAGACTCCTTTCTCCCAGATGGATGCAGGTCTTCAATAGTAATGTAAAAGGAGTGCAAATAAAACTGAAAATATTCACCGACGTGAAAAATGCATCTGTCTGCTCCCAATCCCACCGATACAATTAAACTCCTTACACTTTGACAATAGTGCTGTTTAATGTATGTCATTGTGCAGCTTTTATTTCTGGGAGGCTGCATGTATCATTCACTCTCCTTCACTTCATCATTCCACTCATTCACGCAATGTATAATTCTCCATATATGATCATATGTTGATGAAGCTTCTGTTAGGGCTCATGTGTTGTGTTAGCGGCTCTGTTCAGAATTGTTTTTTTGTTGATTATGTCGTTCACATTTTATACAGATGTGGCCGGTACTGATTTGTCCTCGGAAGTCTTTATGTCATTTTAATCTAATGTCCTCTTTTTGCTCTATCTCTCTCTCCTCGGCCGATTTCGTTTTTTCATTTCTGCAAATGTACAATCTTTTGACATAAATAAATATACAATTGATGAACTATCGACCAACCGAACACCGTAACCTCAGATTATGTTTACAGCCAACTTACATGGGCTCTTACCACAGGGTTATGTTTACAGCCAACTTACATGGGCTCTTACCACAGGGTTATGTTTACAGCCAACTTACATGGGCTCTTACCACAGGGTTATGTTTACAGCCAACTTACATGGGCTCTTACCACAGGGTTATGTTTACAGCCAACTTACATGGGCTCTTACCACAGGGTTATGTTTACAGCCAACTTACATGGGCTCTTACCACAGGGTTATGTTTACAGCCAACTTACATGGGCTCTTACCACAGGGTTATGTTTACAGCCAACTTACATGGGCTCTTACCACAGGGTTATGTTTACAGCCAACTTACATGGGCTCTTACCACAGGGTTATGTTTACAGCCAACTTACATGGGCTCTTACCACAGGGTTATGTTTACAGCCAACTTACATGGGCTCTTACCACAGGGTTCGTAATTCTGGGGGAAGGTTTTGGGACATTTCACATCAAAGTACACTCTAAATTTAATTATGTTTAACAATAAAATAATCTCTGCAAGATACTGATAAATTAGACCAAACTTCATTATTTGTTCGCTACATTCCACATTAGGGAACACTTGGCCCACTCATTGTATGTAGACTAAAATAGTATGTACATATCAATCTTAGAAACCCTCTACTGACCATTAAGACCTAGGGCAGGTGAGCTTATGCCATGGCACTTCTTCTGAAGATCTGATTGCCCTAAAGTCATGATATTTGTCCAGTAGCATCCTATGATGAAGTTTGTGAATGAAAATGAGTACATTGACCTTTAGATACTTTCAAAGTCATATGTCCGTCATGCGACACCATCCTTATATGACCTTAGCTGTTGCTAAAATGATAAACAAATAACAACAAACAAAACCCTTCAACACACTTCTGAATATCGGAAACCTGTTCAGTCCTGCTCCTATTCCCTCACCAGCATCCTGTGTTTGAGTTCACTATGCCCTTGCCCTACGTATACTTTCAAGGTCACAGGGGTCAAGTAACTGTAAACCTTCAACCGCTTCTGAATATCCAATCAACTTAACTTCACAATATTTGGCCAACAACTCCATGTACCAAAATAAACAGGTGAGCGATACAGGCCTCTTGTTTTACAATTGAATTACTTTGTCCAACTTTCAACATCACAACACTCAATCAATATGTTTTTGAACAGTGTATTTTGTAATGGCATTGTACGTAATGCAAATGAAGCTTTGAAACCTATTTCTGTTGTGACATTATCCTTTGTGAATGATGCATTATGATTTATTTTTAATAGTGAATCATAAGTGATTACTAAGATTATAAAGCTGTAGAGACTGATCGCGGCAACACTTGTTTTAGCAAACTAGTAACAAGAAACACTTTGTGACAGAGATTGTTACGTCACAATCGTATAACTATGTTTGTCTTTTGTAAATGTTATAGAAAAATTATAATATAAAGGTTGTATATTAACAGTGAATACCAGTTTTGTCAGTCTTTGCACATTTTCGATAGTTTTGAAGACTTTTTGACCTCAAATGTTTTTCTAGTAATTGTGAAGTCATGAATATTGAAAGTGCAAAACAGTGCATTTAATTATACTGCTTTAAACATGACTAAACAAATATTTGTGATATATGTGTAAAGTTATTGTCAAGAAACGATATACATGCTGTTATTCTAGTATGTGTGAGGTGCTGCTTTCATTTGTATTGCACTTATATTTTTAAATCATTTTGCAAATGAATTGCCATGCTATAGTTAAAATGATCAGTTCATAGGTATGTTACAATATGCTTTATGACTTTGATGCAAAATAAAATTTCTAAAAATTTGGAGAGTTAATAACATCTTCTTTCAAACAAAAGGAATAAAGCCCATATTAGGAAGTGGAAAACCAATTTCCAAGGGTCTACCTATAGCCCTGCCCTAACAACCAATATGGTGAGTGTAACAGAAAACAGTACACCATGTACCAACAGAAAACAGTACACCAGGTACCAACAGAAAACAGTATACCATGTACCAACAGAAAACAGTACACCTGGTACCAACAGAAAACAGAACACCAGGAACCAACAGAAAACAGTACACCATGCACCAACAGAAAACAGTACACCATGTACCAACAGAAAAGAGTACACCAGGTACCAACAGAAAACAGTACACCATGTACCAACAGAAAACAGTACACCAGGTACCAACAGAAAACAGTACAGCATGTACCAACAGAAAACAGTACCCTAGGTACCAACAGAAAACAGTACACCTTGTACCAACAGAAAACTACACCATGTCCCAACAGCAAACAGTACACCATGTAACAACAAAAAACAGTACACCAGGTACCAACAGAAAACCGGACACCATGTACCAACAGAAAACAGGACACCATGCACCAACAGAAAACAGTATACCATGTACCAACAGAAAACAGTTCACCATGTACCAACAGAAAACTACACCATGTACCAACCGCAAACAGTACACCATGTACCAACAAACAACAGTACACCAGGTACCAACAGAAAACCGGACACCATGTACCAACAGAAAACAGTACACCATGTACCAACAGAAAACTACACCATGTACCAACAGCAAACAGTACACCATGTACCAACAAAAAACAGTACACCAGGTACCAACAGAAAACAGTACACCATGTACCAACAGAAAACAGTACACTTTAGTTAATATGTCATTAAACTGGTTATGTATCTTTTTAATAGCTTGTGTACAAGTTCAATATATTTGAATGACATTCCAAGTTTTAATAATGGTCTTTGAACATGACTTACAAGGGGATGACATTTAGGGTGTTTATCACATCCTTAAGGAGGCTTTGTTGAACACATGCCAACACATACACTCTCTAGGGCCGTTCATACGGAAGCTGGTCTTGCCAAGTGTTGTTTTGAGAGACAAAGTGTTCGAGTCGTCACTCTAGAGGACTGTTTCTCTTCAGAAAACCGAGTAACACAAATCAATACCAACTTGTATATCGACACTGCCTTATTGAAATTAAGAGACATAGATAATTAAAACCGCTGCAATAGCGCTTTTTGCTGATTTTAAACACACATAAGGTTAAGTTCAGTAGAGGAATCGTATAAAGGACTAGTGCTGGCAACAAATGGTTTGACGTAGGAACAGAACCAGCGGGACAGTTTAACGAGGGAATAGCACCAGAGGACAAGAGTAGGTCTCCAGGAGTCCAGAGCAGAAGATATTAAATAGACGTTGGAAAAGTATCAAATACATATTCTAAAATATTAACATATAGTGTATTCAGTACACATCAATACGGAAACGACATCATAGGAATGAAAACAAGGTATAAAATAAACCGGAGAATAGAAGGTGATATTCTTGTAATAAACTCATTGATAATAGAGTGTAGACTATTAATCAGGGCTTGATAACCTGTATAAGAGTAGTTATGTCACAGTGTGAAAATATTGATGTTTTATTAAAGGCTGTGATAAAACGTTTTTAATTGAAATTAATAATTGTTGCACTGCGTGTACATGTGCCGTGTGCGATCACTGTGCCATCTACCTGTGTTGTTTCGTGAGTCTGTTGTCACATGTCACCTTGTTGTTTTAGAACTCAATTTAGAACTGGCCCACTGCGGCGTATCCAGAAGGCTTCCTTTATCTTCCGCTTGAACAGATTGCTCTCTCTGTCCAAAACTTTGGAGTTATCCCAGTCTATCACATGCTTTTTCTGTTACTTTATAACATGTCAATCTCTTTTGCAACCGAACGGAGTGCTAAGAACTGACATATAATTTAACGTTTATTAATATACGTAGGTCATGCGGATCTTAATTTCTCTTCTACTAGCTGTTGAGAGGAATACCGACTTCAATTCAAGACAGATGTTGTCGTGCGAAACCACTAAACTCGTAGTAAAATCCATTGGTTATACAATTTAGCAGATGGCAATCAAGAAAATAAAGGTCATGTACCCTTGATCGATTAGGGTTAGGGGTAGGGTTTCCATGAACTTAAGGTAAACCATGGACAGTACATATAGATACTTTATACGTCCCTGGGTAAACCTCCTATCTTTATACAATTTGAAGATTAACTGACTCGAGTTAGATAAACATGATAAACAATGAACACTCGTTGGGGAAGCTCTATATATCCAATCTCACGTTCCTTATTATGTTATGTATGCATTTAATGATACGTTTTTAGAGCTAGCTATCTGGTACATGTACAACACTCACAATCATGTAATAACTTTGAGTCCTGGACACAGATATTGGCGTTTTGTTTGACCACCTCAGAGCTGAGATATGGCAATGATTGAAACATTTTTATTGCAAATTTGATAAAAAAAGTAGCGCCTGGAGAAAGCAATACAAACCATGTAGCGCCGACCCACTTTCACTCAGCCAAGTTTAATAGAAGTTTTCAAAAACAACTTGACTTGTGATTTTTTTTTATTTCAAAGAGAAAAATATGTTAACACATGAATATAAACACCAACAAATATTACAACGACAACCAAAACATATTAACAACTAATAAAGTCAATAAAAAGATTTACAATAAAGTGACAGAAATGTACAGAGATCAAAAGGTGCATGACCTGATGTTGGGATGGGAGTTACCTCCCTTAGACTACTAAATGTAACATCTGACACCAAGGGGCACTGTCCGATCTATTCAGCTTTTTTTTACCTTTTCCACGATTAATAATCTTTTAGTTTAAGACAACCAACCATATATTCTGCCTTTTAAGAGGAATTAAATAGATTTGGTTTTTTTATGACTTAAAGCACATACAGCTTGTCAACAAATTTCAGTCACAATATACATGTTAAGTATACTTGTCATATTGTATGGCACTAAATTAACACATAAACATCATTATTGGTTTACAATAGAACCTAGCTGGTCCATCCACAACTAATCGGGCTGTTCCATTATCTAATCGGGCTGTTTCATTATCTAATCGGGCTGTTCCATTATCTAATCGGGCTGTTTCATTATCTACTGCTCTTGTTCTAGCGTGGTTGCATTGTATTAACATCTATCACATATACATGTAGTTGAAAAGACCTTTTTTATTTTTTATTTTAACTTCATAAAATATGTGTTCGCTGACCTCAGGACCTGTGCATTAACTACTACTTCGTATCGTCATGAGAGCACTGTCCACAAAATAAACGTCTGGAAATCATTAAAGGGTAGACATTGCCAAACTATTGGACTTGCGGTTAGAAAACTGTGATATGGTTTAAGCTATCTCTTATTAATATATTTTATGATAAATGATAGCCCCGACGACAATTCATGTAACGTGCGATCCTCTGACGTAGATTTCAACAAGGTGAGAGGAGTTGAAATGGTAAAACAATCCAACAGCACATTAACGCATACATTTACTATGTTCCCTTTATACATCATTTCTCAAGTTTTATTTTTGCTAATATGTTAAATAGGAAGATATTTAATAACGACATCATAAAATCCTTATACATTTCCATTGATATACTAAAAGTACATATTTTATCTGCTGCAAACATTAACTTCAAGTAATTGATATCTTTGATTAAAAAAGGTTTACAAATATTTCACTATGAGAGAAACAGATTCTATAATATATATTATTTATCTTGTATAAAACAAATTGTATTGTAACAGTTTACATTTAAAAAGATATTTCCCAACATTTTCTTTCTATGTACAATAATGCATCAATGGAATGTAGATAAATACATATGATATATAATACAAAGCTGGTCCTACATAAACATTGTGTTTCCCACACTTCATTTTACACAGCAATGACTGATTCTGCATGAATAAATGGAATTTCATTAACATGGTCTTTAATAATATTAATATACAATTATAGCATGGTGATGAGGTCGATACATGGTTTTATCGACCTAGGTTAGCAATATTGACCGAGGACGCAGTCCGAGGTCAATATTGCTAACCTAGGTCGATAAAACCATGTATCGACCGAAATCACCATGCTACAATAGTTTTATTATTTTAATCGATTTTTTCAAAATTGAAGAAAAAAATGTAAAAAAATATAGTTTTCCATTTTTTTCCCATTTTTTTTCCAGAGTCTATTTATAGCAGGTCAATAACACTTTTTCTACCAACTTTTTTACAAAAATTCCAGAATCTATTTATAGCAGGTCAATAACACTTTTTCTACCAACTTTTTTGAACACCTGTTCCAGAATCTATTTATAGCAGGTCAATAACACTTGTTCTACCAACTTTTTTGAACACCTGCAAACCACTCAGGTTTATAACTACTTTTACAGGTGGTCACATGATGTTGTTTCAGCCAATCAGAGTCAGCTAAAAATCAATAAAAATAATAATAATAATTATAGGTTCTTATATATCGCTATATCACAACCTAGTTCGTATGTCATCTCAAAGCGATTCAGAAATTATTATCCGTGGTGATAGGGCCTTTGCAACCAGCCAATATCTTTCTTCTAAACATTTTCTTCAGGTTGGTAAGTATGGATTATGAAAAGTTCTTTTTACACAACCAATACAATTTTCTATGTGACGTTTCGATGACTAGTACGATATGTACACTGTCACCAAATCGTACTTGTCATCGACACGTCACATAGAAATTTGTATTGGTTGTGTAAAAAATAACTTTTCATCAGCCAATATCTCTCTCAACTCCATACAGCCGGAGCTGCCATTTCGGCGCTAACGGCTAGCATTAAACTATTCTAGCACTGCCCAACCAAGTACTCATTTACAACCGAGAAGATTTGGACAAGCAAAGTAAAGTATCCTGCTCAAATATACAACACAGTGCCGTGCCGTGACTCGAACACGCAACCCTTCGGTCATGAGCCCGGCGTCCTACCACTACACTATAGCTACCGTGCCTCCTGTTGCAATTCATCTGTTAAACGATTGAGATAGTTGGGTGTTTTCCGCTTGCTCCACTAAAATTAACATATAAATATCTTCCATTTATTTAATATCAATCCAAACTTCGAGTACATCTCGAGATTACTTATGCTCAAATACTAAGCTCAACGGAAGAATGGAACAGACATAGTATCATATTAGCATAAAGAAAACCTTTTTTCCTTTCTAAGTACGGTGATTATTTGGGTATTTTGTTTTCCTCAAACGATTCAATTATTTTAAATACACAAGAAGGGTTCATCAGCACTCGTAAATATATTCCAGAAAAATCAATGAATACTGTGAAAGCTGTTGCGAATAGCAATATGACTACACATTTACATACTAAAACAGTGGCCCGAGTACCTGGACGTCCAAAGTATCACAAAAGCTGTCGATTTGAATTCCACATGATGTCATATTGAAGTTCGAACCAAGTCTATACTACCTATGCAGTGATAATATTTAGCATGATGTGCTCCCTAACCTTCTACTGTGTGAAGGGGAACTTTTGCTGCAATTTCGTGTTCACCTTTATCGCCCCCTGTGACGAGGGCGAATTTATCATTACAGAGAATATAACAACATTACAATGAAATGTGAAGACTGAAATTAACACTGGGCGAAAACTGGTCTCGTGTGGTAGCCAGGCGATATTTGAGTGGGCGCAAACTTTCCAATATAGAGTATAACTAAGTCTAACTTGAACTAATAGATTCCATTTCAGCAATAATGACTATCACATTAGTATGCATATTTATTACAACCATTCATCGTTCGTATCTCAATACATAATATAACTGAATCACCAAATTAAACCGAATGGAGGTTTCATCTGCCCGACTTCAGATTATGTAAATGCGGTTTCTGAAATGCCGGTGAATAAATCTTGATTAGATTTTGCTATTATCTACATATACCTGTACAGGAGATGTTTTAAACCTTTGATATTAACCTCGGCATCGTTTTGTCCTCGTGGTCACACATGCAGTCATTTGTATTGCTTAATGATCTGGTTTACCTGTGTGCGCATTTTCTATTGTTTTCAAATGGATATATTAACGACTCTAGCCTTGAAGGATGAAGCAAGGATCATGCGTTGTCTTCGCTAGAAACGGATTTCACAAACTGTTCAGCATCATTTTTCAAAGCGGAAGGAACATTCTCTAAGGTCATTGAATTATCTCTGTCTTTCATCGACTTGTTTTGGACTCAAGTGAAAAATTATTTTCCTCGATTGTTTGGTTACATCAACGCTCTGGTAAATGTGGCGGATCTCCGACACCTAATTTCATCTGACCCTTGCAGATTCTTTTTCTTACCAATAGCTATAGGATCACAGTATTCAGTGATTGAAAACCATGCTCCCCCGAACCTAATAAGTGGATTTCACGTGTTGATAACTATTTGGGACAATGTCCTTCAGGAAGGATTTCTGCATGATTTTATACAAGTTTCTTCCAGGACAGGTTAGGGTGTTTACCTTGTCGATCATCCCTGGTTCGAAAGTGATCCAGACATCAGATCTCTCCTAGGACATCATTGTGCTGAAGAATTAACAGAATTATTTCCAGTTTTACCTGTTCATGATTCTTCTGTCCTCCGGAGCTGCCATTTCTTGTTGTTGTGATAAGCCATTGGTGCTACCACTTGTCAGGATATGTTACTGCAGCAACAGCCCAAGCGGTGCATCAATATCCACAGATTCTGCTACACGTGTGGAGGCTGACAGAGGTGTCCGTACTCAGACATGCGTGCCTGCGGACATGTCAGATTTGTCTTTCTCATCAGCCACCTGCCAATCCAGGTGGAGACTTTTCTAAGACAGGTGTAGGTGAGAGGTCGATTGATCCTGTCAACGTGTATCATTTGTGCTAGAATCTCTGATAGGAGTTCCTTTGGCACGTTTGAGTAACGTGAGTTGATCCGTCTTGCGTATGAGAAAGCCGGGGATAAATATTTGGATGTTAAAGCTTTATTTTTATGTAACATTTGACCTTAATGGAGTCCCAGCCTACTTTTCTATCTTTTGCATACTGTGTGTCAACAGGACACAAATTGATATTTAGCTATATGAAGTAAGAGTAGTTTATGCTGTGGTCACATACAAGTCGGACAGGAAGATTTTACCAAGGGTGTTTGACGGATTTAATCCTTTTATTTTGAAATACAAAAGACCGGTTGCTATAGTAAATATGTATCTGAAAGCTATGTAATGTGTAATTTACACCAGGAAAACGGATTTACGAAGACAAACCTCAAGATCAGAATTTTCATCTCCCGAAAACTCCCCAAAATATATAAAAATAATCAAATAAATCGTAGTTTTAATACAAATTATTATAAATGTTGTCTCATACACGCATTCTGGGGTATTTCTCTGTGTCTAAACATCACCTGTAAAACAAGTTTAAACAAGTTCCGAATGTCTAAATAGCATGGGTTTTTCTTCGGTGAAATTAGGATTATTTGTACCATGTAAAGCATACATTTGAAAAGCATGTTAACAAGCATATATTTCAATGAGATATGATTTGATAATTTAAAACCATTTTTACAGTTTAGGTTACAGAATATATAACAATCTCAGTGGATTTAATGACTATCTCCACTACTTTTTGTTACATTATCGAATTATATTAAAATTAGATATTAGTTGCTGATGAAATCCTTTCTTAAGCTGACATATTCTTTTCAAAGTTTTCTGCAAATCAGTACATGGGCCACTGTTTGAGTTTATACAAATAATAAAGTGTTCATGGTCGGATTCGATCCTTTAGATTTTGTACCGAGAGGTTTGTTTTTTAAATTTGTACAAATTCCAATTATGATCAATTTAAAAAAATGTTATATTTATTATCATCGGTGTCAAAATACAAAACAATTCCTGAAATTTAAGTTGATACAACAGAAACTTATCCAAACAGACATCAAAACAAAAGCCTAAGGTATCCTGAACGAAGCCCTCTTCAGGAAACAACATAGAACAAACAGGTGCTCTAGATCGGCAAGTAATTTCTACACCACAAGTGGTACCCAGCTTTTATTCTCTGCAAGAACTCCTATATGTTTTGACTTTATGCTAGATTACCTTCAATCAGCCTGACAGTTAAAATGACCTGATCCTATAATTAGGTCAAGCTAGCACTGCTTTATACACACGTTTCCTAGTTTACCACACACCAGGCAGTCGAATGAAACATTTAAAAAAACAAATCGATCATTCCATGTCAGATCACAAATAGGACTGGCGAGAAATGTGATGACTTATATACACACGAGACAAAGTGGAAACAACAGAACAATACATTGATATAGATATTGCTAAGTTCCCAAAGGTCTATGGTAAGTGCTTTACAAAAGTACAAAACATTCAATGCTCCTGAAAGCTTTACACGTAAATCCCCTCTGGTATTTCTGAGAATCCATTCCAAAGATAATCCTTACACTTGCTGGCACAAAGGCATCACATTTCAAATTTCTGTTTCCAATATCCTTTCCTTTAGAATCTGGTATCTCTGTCACTAATTCACGATTCTCACTTTCTGTGTATGACAAATTTTCAGTTTGGAAAGGTCGTCCATATACCAGTGGTTTTATGGTTATAACCCATATCATGTACTTTTAAATATTTTCCTCACAATGATATGCGAAAAACATTTGTATTGGCCTGCATCTGAGTTTTCTCCAAGATTTCTCAAAGTTACCATAATACTTTGAAAATTGTTAAAAAATATGAACATCCTTTTTTTTGTGAAAATGAACAGACAATTAATTTGTTCCTATTCAATTTTGATCCATTAAAAAAAAGGAAAAAGTGTTAATCACAAAAGCATCACTACGTTTCACAAGCACGATTGTCTGTAGCAATTGCTCCATTTCGGGTCAAGTTCATTTCAGATTGGACTGACCCATTATCCGTAATGTCAGTTTGAGTGTTGCTAGGGAGGGATGTTGGTCTTATGATATCAAGATTATCTGGCAGTGACGTCAAGTTGATAAGGTTACCACACGAGTCTGTGTTGTTCTGTGTATTATTGTCATATGTTTGTGCTGTATTTTCTGAAAGAGGGGAGGAGGGTGGTGATGATAATGACGAAGAAGGATCATCTGATGCTAGTCCATTTGAATTCATGTTTCCAGCTTCAGATGTAACAGAAGAGCCATTTTGTTTCAAATCCTCATCTGGGGTTGTGGAAGAGGTGTCCATGTCAACCTCATTGTCATAGTTACCTAAACAGTCATCCATATTGTATAAAGAATTGGAATATTCCACCTGGTTACCATAAGAGTAAGATGCATTATGGGAGCAGGAAAGGCTTTCATCTGATTGGGTAAGTCCTGCTGTCACAAAAAGTAGTTCTGGAGATACCATTTCTACATCACTAGGTGATGACGCATCAGTGGGTGAAGTGTCAAAGGACATCATAGCATTGAGGTCTTGACTCGGAATGACAGTGTTCTCTGTTACACTGTCAGATCTGTTGCCAAGCAGCTGCTCCTTTTCTATACTAGGGGGCGGCTCTATTGCCAGGATAGGTATTGCTACTACAGGTACTGTGGGTGCTGTCGTTACTGGTGCTGCCACTACAGGTACTGTGGGTACTGTTACTGGTGCTGCCACTACAGGTACTGTGGGTGCTGTTACTGGTGCTGCCACTACAGGTACTGTGGATGCTGTCGTTACTGGTGCTGCCACTACAGGTACTGTGGGTGCTGTCGTTACTGGTGCTGCCACCTGTGGGTTGGGCATGTCTTCATTACAAACCTCCCCCTCACTACTGATGCTGTCCACACTGATAGGGCTGGGGGACTTCACTGGGGATAATTCTTTCTCTACTGGGGCTTCAGCAGCAGGGCAAGGCTGGGGTGTGATGTCCTGTTGGGCAAAATAAGATGTCATATTAAACATTAAAACCAAATCTATGAAAGCATGCAAGACTGAGGTTAATACTTTTTACTTTACAGTGGATCTGACATCTACTGTTTATAAAAGGGTAGAGTCATCAATACCAAGGCGATGAACATTTTTTTCTGCCATACAAATGTACCTTAATGTGAAAAAGAGAGCTGTACACAGGTAAGAGATATCCTTGTGTCACCCTAAGACCAAGACGAGGGGATTCCCAAGTCAAGACTACAAGAGGGTATCTTACAGGTGTAATTATGGTAATGAAGCAAAATAATTTGACAAAGTGTAAGATGTTACAATTGTTAACTACCCCATATACAGTGTTGCAGTGTATACCTTGTCTGCCTCCTCATCGATAAACTGTATGGATGCGTGAGAGTCGGAGGGGGAGGGTGGGATCGGGGAGGGTGCAGTGACCACCAGGACCGGATTGGAGTCCAGGAAACAGTGTTTAGGCGACATTGTAGGAGAGCTAGGGGCACCGTGATTGTTCACCGGGTAGTAACGGTTACCTCCCTTTACTGTGGAACTGCTCTGAAACAAAATCATCACATTGTGAGTTAAAACAGGTTCCCGCTCTCTTTATTTGTTTTCCATATCAAATCCTAATGATTCAAAAGCAGTACATGCAATACTAGAAACAAAGTGTGTGAGAGATCGCAAATGCATATATCCAAAACTCTGTTCATCGTGAGACCCAGACAAGAATACACCACATGTAACAGTTACTAAACAACAAGAAAACAGTACACAAGAACCTGCTTACATCCTTATATTGATAGACTATATATCTTCTATGTAGGGTCAATGTCATGAAGTTTGGTTGGACTTGTTCCCACCATCATGTAATGATTATTTAGCTGTGCCTTAAATATATGACCTTGACCTCTTCAAAAGGTTGAGCAACATATGTCTGTAATAAGTATTTGAAATTTCATGAAATTTGGTTTAAAACTTTGCTCAAGTTATGTTTTTAACCATCATCTAACAATTCTTTTAAATAAAATAAATGAATATACAACAATTGATAAAGCGCTCTATCTAGCTAACATAGGCCACTCTAAAGCACTTTACAGTACATAGATATACAATTAATACAATTAGCACATACATTAATAAATACTATTATCAGGCGCTTACTACTAGTTCTATGCCACCTGGCTAATATCTCCCTATATGTGTGTATGCCTGTGTGTGTGCTGGAGATGTAATGTGTTTTGTTTGTAGTGGGACCGTGCTTCGAACGGCATCATTTATAGTGCCACCTCACTTGAAAGCTACAGCACAGATACTGCAACATCCACCCCAGACCATGTTATACTCCACCTGGGTTGTTGGAGTTGTGTGGGCAGGAGAAAAACACTTTCTCTGAATATCCATGTGTACGCCGAATTCGGGGATTGAATCCCGACCGGCTACGTGGAAGGCCGGAGTGTTAACCACTTGACCAATCTTCCCATTAGACAAAATATGACCTTGACCTTCAAATCTATGACCTTAACCTTCAAAAGATCATAAGAGAATTAGAATATATTAGATTCTGTAAGAATTGTTGGGAGTTGTATGAAATTTGGTTGAAAACTTAAGTCAGAAACATTGTCCTCATTGAAAAAAAATACATCATTTCTATAATGGATATTTTTTTTGAGATTTTTAAAAGGTTTTGATTTATTCTTATGTTTTTAAATTGCCAAGGAACTTATTAGGTGGAATACAGCAGCAGTGATTTCATTACATACAATGTGCAGTGGTTAAAAAGGTGTAAGAAACATTCCTCCACCTGTACGTTTATGTCCTGTGTGTCGATATAACTTTATCGTAAAAGTTATATCAACTGATTCACTCTGAGGACACTTACTTCAGGGCAGCTACTTAGCCGATTTAAGCCAGCCTGAGCTTCTTAGCAGATGAAAGCCAGCCAGCTACTTACTGTAGCAGATTTAAGCTAGCCAGCTACTTAGCAGATTTAAGCCAGCAATTACCATAAATGATATACCTTGTAATATAATAACAAACAAATTATGAACTGTGCTTTTAAGTAGATTGATAAATGACAAAGATACATCAAAATGCTTAGGAACAGATTTTCTACATCATTATTACTGACAAGAAGGGTTATTAAACACTTATTTGTGTGATGAAGATAGAGATTTAGGTCTAATCTCTTGTCTCGTCTAAACCTTCTAATCTCTCTATTTTTTATATTAAGAAGTAAAATAGAAAAAATACTACCACAGAATCAACACACAAGGACAAAATTGGGATTCTATGTTTGCAACATGAAAGACAATAATGCAGTGTACAATAAGGAGACACGGATACACCCACAAAATCTTAACTAATGCCAATCAATCTGCTTGTTATAACAATGTATTAGGTCAACTGAACTTTATTGTTCAGATGTCTATAAATGAACCAGATAAATAATACACACTTCTGTAACATTTCTTTGATCATATGTATATGGTTCCGCCTTTGTCCATTACAACTAGAGCTGTTATCGAGACACTATTTAATACCCCCACATTACCCTCACATCATAAAGATGCAACCCACAATGCTATTTTCCCTAATTAAATTCAACATTTGAAAATGATAATTGGAACGCATTATTGGAGTAACTGATGTCAATGCGGACTACAATTGATTTAAAGCCATCCACTTAAAGGGATTCACCACAAAGATAATTACATAAGAGCCTTAATTGTTTATAAAAGAGTTAAAACAAAATAAAACAGAAGATGAGTTGGGTTATAAAGACGTGAACAATGTTCCATTTAAATTGGCATTATTTCAGGAAAATGTGTGGACAAAATTTTGTCTACAGAAGAACAGACAACATCCAACACTCCCTGCTCCCAGGCAGTTAACTTATTCACATTTGAACTCTTCCTATTCAAAGGTTGGAAAAATTCATTATGAAATTTCAGGGATATATGTGTTAGCAGAGAAAGAATTATAAACCTGGATCCTCATATTTCAGTTACTTTCTCAGATGAGCCATTAGCCTAGACATATTAGGATATGAAGTATTCATTGATTTTTGACCTTATCGCACCTGCCTATTTGCTGTCTTTGCGTTGGATTCTCGTGACACGGCTTCCTGTGCCTCCTTCTGAGGTCCCCGGGGTGGTTGTCCCAGACAAGGGTGATAGTCAGGCGGTGCTACTATTTGTTGCTCCCTCCAGCGCTTCATGTAGTTCCTGGTCAAGGGAGACAACTCAGTGATCAGAATTTAATAAAAGACTATTAATATGCACAACATATTCCCATAAACAATTTTGCTCATCATCAATAAACACAAAGGCAAAATTATCAAGGAAAAGTTTGTTTTGTGAACATAAGAGGAAGTCCCACACAAACAAAAAGGCACATTTACTTTGCACTCTACAGGTGAATGTCCCAGTGACTAGGTTATAGCGCACACCACATCGTTTGTGGGTGATGCAGGTATTATGAGCGACACCATGGCCTCTCTATGAGTGACATCATGGCCTCCCTATGAGTGACCCCATTGCCTCCCTATGAGTGACATCGTTGCCTTCCTATGAGTGACATCATGGCCTCCCTATAAGTGAAATAATTGCCTCCCTATGAGTGACATCATGGCCTCCCTATGAGTGACATCATTGCCTCCCTATGAGTGACACTATTGCCTCCCTATAAGTGAAATCATGGCCTCCCTATGAGTGACATAATTGCCTCCCTATGAGTAACATCATGGCCTCCCTATGAGTGACATCATGGCCTCCCTATGAGTGACATCATGGCCTCCCTATGAGTGACATCGTTGCCTCCCTATGAGTGACACTGTTGCCTCCCTATGAGTGACATCATGGCCTCCCTATGAGTGACATCATGGCCTCCCTATGAGCGACATCATAGCCTCCCTATGAGTGACACCATTTCCTCCCTATGAGTGACACCATGGCCACCCTATGAGTGACATCATGGACTCCCTATGAGTGACATAATGGCCTCCCTATGAGTGACTTCATGGCCTCCCTATGAGTGACATCATGGCCTCCCTATGAGTGACAATCAGGAACTGAAGATATCAGCTTTATTACCTTATTCTCAATACCGCAGCCACGATGAAGAAAGTTCCAATCACAGCTGAACATGTTGCTATGACAACTACTTGTGTATGACTCAACCCTGAAAAACATTCAAGAAAGGACAAAAATGTCTTATTAAGGAAAGATAAATTCTTTCTTTGTCATTGGAAAAACAATCAAATAGATATAAAAGGCTGAGAGAAAAGCCAATGTCTATACTTCACAGGACATTTGGAATACATCCACATTTGATGACAATTCAATTATCTGGAAGGTACACCACGGGGGCTGGACTGTCAAGTGTTGGGTTAAAGCAGAAACACTTTCTATATTTCCCTGGAGAAATTATTGTCCAAACTATAGCCAAGCTACATGTATTGGAAAGAGCTTCCAGAAATGTCTAGGGTTACATGTTACATGTGAAACAAGCACATCAAAGACAGCAACCTTTTTTTGTAAATTAAGCAAATTGTTTATACATATTCTTTGTTTTAAACTACAGCAGATCAATTTATGTGACAATTTATTTTCCATAATCACGTTGATCGAACTTAACACATCTCATCTCAAGCAATTTTCATGTATATGTATAAACATTACAAGAACATTACAAATGTAAACATATAGACTTTGCAAGGTCTTGTTATTTTTATTCAGCACACACTATCATTCAAAAAAGATAGTAAACGACCAACAAGATGCCCCATTGGCCTGTATTGTTTGCTTCTTATTCTATACCCTGTTCATTAACATAACTCACATGTATGACCTTCTAACACAAGTAAGTCAAGGTCAATTTTATATTAAACAAAATAAATGATAGCAAGCAAGCCACAATATTACAGGCTAAATATTGTTACTCTACAACTTGAGATGTTCATTGGAAGATTTTACCTTCTTTAATTCATCAAACATTCAAGGTCAAGGTCATTTAGTTAAACAAACATATGTTTTGTTATTGCTTTTTGTTTGTTTGTTTGTTTGATTTTGTTTAACGTCCTATTAACAGCAAAGGTCATTTAATGACGGCCTCCCCTGTGTGCAAGATGCATGCGTGTAGTGTATGTGTGTATATTTTGGGAGGCTGCGATATGTTCGTGTTTGTCTCCTTGTGATAGCGCGGAACTGATGCCGACTTTATAGTGCTACCTCACTGAAACATACTGCCGAAGACACCCAGCAGGACGCCCCACCCGGTCACATTATACTGACAACGGGCGAACCAGTCGTCCCACTCCTAATTTGCTGAGCGTTAAGCAGGAGTAGAAACTACCATTTTTAAAGACTTTGGTATGTCTCGGCCAGGGGACAGAACCCAAAGCCTTCCTCACAGGGGCGAACGCTCAACAAATGGCCAAAAGTGAGGCATTGTCAAGGGAGACATTAGGAAGAAGAAAGTTATTTAGAAAGGAGAGAAGAGATAAGGTCCCAAATTTAGTCGCCTCTTACGATCATGCAATTGGGGGCAGCAGGTACAATTCTTACACCCTACCTGCAGGGTACTTTTGTTATTGCATTAAACACAGGCTTAATTCTATAGCTTGTGTAACTCTTCATGCCAGCAAGCTTCGGCATTTCATCACTAAGGCTCTCTAGCTCTTAAACACGTTCGGCATTTCATCACTAAGGCCCTCTAGCTCTTAAACACATGTTTGATTGATAACAAATGTGACCCCTGTAGCCTTAAACAAAGACCAAGATCCTTTCTGTTCAGGAATTTTGTAGCAACCATGCCAACAAGCTATTGGCAAAATATCTTAACCCATAGATTTTTCAATTCTTCAGGAAAAGTCATTAGAGGTTTTTATATCACCCGAGTGGCCTTTCTTCTTAAATATCTTGACACTGGAATGCCAGCCATGCAATTCAAGCTACAGCCAAAATATCTGTGGTTTTTAACTTTTTTTCAAAAGTGGTCAGGCTTGATCCAAAAAGACTTATAACTCGCCAAATAAAATTGCCCTATACCCAATGGTTCTCGAGAAGAAGTCTTTTGAAGAAAAAGTTGACAGACATCAAGCAAATTTTGCAACAGTAGCATGTCTATTAACACAATCATCTTTAATACACAGATCGAGCAAATGTCGCAGGCAGCCATAGACAGTTTCTCAGGGAATAATAGATCTTTTGTAGTGGCATCAATGGCACTTTCTTTTCTTAATATCTTACATATCAGAAAGTGTTTTATTGAGCAAACATGCATCCGGGGGCCATGGAGGCTGCAATCTCTCTAGACACTCCTTTACAGTGACAAGGATGTTTTAGCTGGTGTTTTATAGACACCTCCAATCTTAAATGCACTACATGCACTGAGTAAAAACTTTTAGTGGATATCTTGTAGGGGAAAAAGTTAAAAAATAATAATAATGGATTGAGTATAGTCGTCTAGACATCTTTAAGGCATAGCTCCTATCCTACAAGAGTTAAGTCCCCTTTGACATTACTTCAATGTGATTACAAGAATCATTTTGCTTCTAGACTCCAAACACAGCCTCCCCTTTGCTACACTTCAACCCATCTTCTAATGTTTTCTTTCAAAGCCTTGAATGTTCTTATTTTCTATGTCATGTTTTAGTGTGGTCCTGATGACCTAAAGCAAAAGCAAATATTTGAATTGTAAACCAATCAATTATAGTCTCATATACCAGACCTTGGAACACGATTTAAAGAACTAGAAGTAAAGAGTAGTTTATTGAGTGAAATCATGTCTGAAGAAGCCCTATAAGCAATGCAATAAAGAAGCACTGTAGAATGTGTAACTTTGATTGTCATGCTAGCATGTCAATTAAAGCTTATTGCTTAGAATCTGATTTCCATTTACAATAACAGTGAACCAGATGTTATTCAAATGGAAGCCAAATATGACTTTTACTTTTTTTTATTTTATTTTATAGCAGTCATTTGAGAGTTTCAACAACTTTTACTCCTGCAATCTGTGATATGGGTTTAGGTCATTTCCTTTTGCGAACATTGTAGTTTTATTCGCCATCAACTACTGAACAAACTCTGTACAATGTACATGTACATTGATCTACATTTTGAATATCAAAATCATCAGACTGCTCATGATCAGCAGATTTGCTGCAGGATTTCTTGAGATGCTCTTAGAGTTTGTAAACAGATGCTGTACAATGGACAGCAATAGCTCCTGTTAGGCATGATGAGTTAAAGATGACAGGTCCTTACCTCGGCCCTTTGGTTGAACTCATGTCAATAAAGCTATTTAAGCCTTTGTTTTAGTCAAAATAAAGTTTGAATTTCCAGATCTGTTGTGTTGGCAAAGCAAGATATAATAATGTATTGTGTGTTAAATGTTTTAGCTTGAAAAAGTGAAGAATTACATGGTTGGGATGTCAGTGTCCATGAAAAGTGATTGACCTCTTTTAATGATACATAATATAAACTGTTTCTAACTTTACCATGCGTACAATACATCAGGTCTGTAGAATTAAACTCTGTGATATTACGTATTTACACCTAAAGGTGGGTAATGTAGGGTATCTAAGAACAGACAAACCAATACATGGATTTGTAATCTAAAAGATTTTTTCTGTTTCTTCTCAAATATATCTTCTTTTTTGTCTCAAACACAGACCTATATATTCAGAAAATGAACATATATTAGGTAAATGTTTGCGACCAAATACAGCAATATAAAACAGCGGACACCAAGAAGTAAATTTCCAGTTTAACACAGCATTTTGGTTCTTTATGTCTCCTTCTACTTAGTTCCTGGCCGCCAACTCTGTCATAAATACTCAATTTTTGTACTACAATGGAAGTGTGTAGTGACGTAATGCTCTACATGACCTATCCTCAGGAGACGACTTAGTGCTCTACATGACCTATCCTCAGGAGATGACTTAATGCTCTACATGACCTATCCTCAGGAGACTCGACTTAATGCTCTACATGACCTATCCTCAGGAGATGACTTAATGCTCTACATTACCTATCCTCAGGAGACTCTGCTCTACACGACCTATACTCAGGAGACTCTGCTCTACACGACCTATCCTCAGGGGACTCTGCTCTACACAACCTATCCTCAGGAGACGACTTAGTGCTCTACATGACCTATCCTCAGGAGATGACTTAATGCTCTACATTACCTATCCTCAGGAGACTCTGCTCTACACGACCTATACTCAGGAGACTCTGCTCTACACGACCTATCCTCAGGGGACTCTGCTCTACACAACCTATCCTCAGGAGACTCTGCTCTACACGACCTATACTCAGGAGACTCTGCTCTACACGACCTATCCTCAGGAGACTCTGCTCTACACGACCTATCCTCAGGAGACTCTGCCCTACACGACCTATCCTCAGGAGACGACTTAGTGCTCTTCATGACCTATCCTCAGGAGATGACTTAATGCTCTACATTACCTATCCTCAGGAGACTCTGCTCTACACGACCTATACTCAGGAGACTCTGCTCTACACGACCTATCCTCAGGGGACTCTGCTCTACACAACCTATCCTCAGGAGACTCTTCTCTACACGACCTATCCTCAGGCAACTCTGCTCTACATGACCTATCCTCAGGAGACTCTGCTCTACACGACCTATCCTCAGGAGAGACGACTTAATGGTCTACATGACCTATCCTCAGGCGTCTCTGCTCTACATGTCCTATCCTCAGGAGACTCTTCTCTACACGCCCTATCCTCAGGGGACTCTGCTCTACACAACCTATCCTCAGGGGACTCTTCTCTACACGACCTATCCTCCGGCAACTCTGCTCTACATGACGTATCCTCAGGAGACTCTGCTCTGCACGACCTATCCTCAGGAGACTCAACTTAATGCTCTACATGACCTATTCTCAGGAGACTCTTCTCTACACGCCCTATCCTCAGGGGACTCTGCTCTACATGAACTATCCTCAGGAGACTCTGCTCTACTGACCTATCCTCAGGAGACTCAACTTAATGCTCTACATGACCTATACTCAGGAGATGACTTAATGCTCTACACGACCTATCCTCAGGGGACTCTGCTCTACATGACCTATCCTCATCTACATGACCTATCCTCAGGGGACTCTGCTCTACACACCCTATCCTCAGGAGCCCCTTCTCTACACGACCTAT